ACAGCTAATGTTATGCTTGATGGGAAGAGAATGCTTTTACCCTAACCTAGAGACCAAGCCAAGGGTATCCACTTACCATGTCTTAATATTAGACTGGAAGTCCTGTCCAATGTAGTAGGCAAGAGAAAGAAATAAAAGACATACAGATTGGAAAGGAGGAAATAAAACACTTTCCATTCACAGATGACATGACTATCTACATAGAAAAATTCTAAAGGATCTACCAAAAAAAAAAAAAAAAAAAAAACTACCGATTTTAGCAAGGTTACAAGATACACAGTCCATGTGGAAGATCAGTTAAATTTCTGTGTACTAACAAGGAACAATTGGAAACAAATTTTTAAAAACTATGCAAAACTGAAATACTTAAATACAAAATCTAACGGAAGATATGAAATAATCCATGTACAGAAAACTGTAAAACATTGATGAAAGAAAAACTTAAAAGTACTAGGTGAATGAAAAGATATATCAAATTCATGATTTAGAATACTCAATATTGTTAAGATGTCAGTTCTCTCCAGGTTGGTCTGTACATTCAATGTAATTCCAATTAAACTCTCAGCAGGATTTTTTTTTATAGATATCATCAAGAGGATCCCCAAACTTATATGAAAAAATAAACTAAAATAGCCGAAACAATTTTGAAAAAGAAAAGCAATGTTGGAGGACTTACTCTACGTGATTTCAAAACTTACTAATTAAGGGGTGCCTGGGTGGCTCAGTCGGTTGGGCGTCCGACTTCGGCTCAGGTCATGATCTCGCGGTCTGTGAGTTCGAGCCCCGCATCGGGCTCTGTGCTGAGAGCTCAGAGCCTGGAGCCTGTTTCAGATTCTGTGTCTCCCTCTCTCTCTGACCTTCCCCCATTCATGCTCTGTCTCTCTCTGTCTCAAAAATGAATAAATGTTAAAAAAAATTAAAAAAAAAACTTACTAATTAAGACAGTGTGATATTGGTGAAAAGATCAGTGGGACAGATTAGAGACAAAACAGACTTACACAAATGCAGTTTTTGACAGAGGTGCAAGGTCAAGTCAGTGGACAAAGGATAGTCTTTCCAACAGATGGTACTGAATGATTAGACATCCACATGTATTAAAAAACTGAACCTCAACACATAGCTCACATGCTATACAAAAGCTAATTCAAACTTGATTATAGACCTAAATGTGAAACTTAAAACTATAAACTTCTAGAAGAAATCTTAGGAGAAAATCTTTGTGATCTTGGGTTTGGCAAAGAGGTTTTAGATACAATATCAAAAGCATGACCCATGAAAGAAAAAATGGATGAGACAGGCTGTATCAAAATTAAAAACTTCTCCTTGAAGGACATTAGTAAGACAATGAAAAGACAATCTATTTGCAAATTATAGGTACAATAAAAAAATTCCTATCCACAACACATAAAAAAACAATCCAATCAGAAAATGGTCAGTGGGTGCCTGGGTGGCTCAGCTGGTTGAGCCTCTGACTCTTGATCGGCTCAGGTCATGATCTCATGGTTCGTGAGATTGAACCCTGTGTTGGGCTCTGCACTGATGGCACAGAGCCTGCTTGGGATTCTCTCTCCCTCTCTCTCTCTGTCCTTCACCTGTGCACATGGCACGCACACTCTCACTCTCTCTCAAAATAAATAAATAAACTTTTTTTTTAGTGGTCAAGAGATCTGACACTTCCGCAGTGAAGTACACCCAGATGGCAAATAGCATAGGAAACCATGCTCAATCTCAGTCATAAGGAAATGAAAACCACATGAGATACCATCACACACCAATTAGAATGGCTAAAAAGTAAAAGACAAAGTACTGACTATACCGAGTTGTGGCAAGAACTGTGAGCACTGGAGCTCTCAGTGCTGAAGGTAATGTCAAATTGTACAGCACTTTTGAGAAGTTTGGCAGTTTCTTACAAACTAAACATTCTCTCTTTTGCTATATGACCCAGCAATTCCATTCTTATTTACTCAAACAAAAGAAAAACTCGAGTTCACACGTAAACTTGTCTATGTGTTTATCACACTTCATTCACGCTCATCAAAAATTGGAAACAACATAAGATGTCATTCACCGTTTAGGTAAATGGTTAAACCGGTCCATCCACACAATGGAGTATTACTCAGCAGTAAAAGGGAAGGGACTTGATTCCTACAGCAACATATATGGATTTAAAATGCATTTTACCAAGTGGAAGAAGTCAAAATCAAAAGGTTACATATTCTACAATTCCATTCTAGAAAAGCATTCTTTCTGCATTGACCACAAAGGGACAGCTGAAGGGAAATTTCTGAGTGATGGAAACATTCTGTTTGTTACTCTGGTGGTAGAAACACAACTTTGTGTGCATTTGCTAAAAGTCATGGATCTGCATACCTCATCCCACCCAGAATGTAGAGGAAACCCAAAGTGATAGGAAGCCTGTGACAAATGAATCTAACTGCATCACAAATAAATGGCATTAAAATACTGAGGGTGTAAGGAAGAAAGGAGCTAAGTAACTTTGGAAATCAGTGTGTTAACTGGATACCCAAGGACTAAATACAAAATGCAAATGGACATGAGCACTGTAATCAAGTTGATAAACTTGTTTCTTATCCGAGTATGGCTTAGCAATTCCAAAGGTAATTTAGACGTAGGGTAGGTTGAACAAACAGGTGTGTATGTTATAGATAACAATAGATTCCTCACTATGAGAGAGGGAACTTACAGATCAGCAAAGAGGGAATGTTAGAATTGACTCTTGGTGCTGGGTTGGAGTTGAAGGTGTCAGCATGAACTCGTGCCTTTGTATTTAATGGATGCATGGACAGATGGATAGACAAGGGTTAGCATACATGCATTATATTTACTGGTTTTCCCCATTGAAAGGATTTACAAGGAAGTCCTTGTAGAAATAGGAAATTGCTATCAGTGGTCATTATGCTGTACCCCTTAAACTTACACATTGCTGTATGTCAGCTATATCTCAATAAATCTGAAAGGGGAAAAAACATTCACAGTAATAACTGCTGTGGGGAATATCCTCCAGTGAAAGCTGAAATTAATTGAAATATTTTTAAATTGTGGTATATATATATGTATGTACATGTATACACATATACACATGTATGTATATATTTTTTCACCATTTTAAAATTTTTGGGCGGGGTCCTGGGTGGCTCAGTCGGTTAAGCATCCGACTTCAGCTCAGGTTGTGATCTCACAGTTCGTGGGTTCGAGCCCCGCATCGGGCTCTGTGCTGACAGCTTAGAGCTTGGAGCCTGCATTGGATTCTGTGTCTCCCTCTCTCTCTGCCCCTCTCCTGCTCACGGGCTCCCTCTGTCTCTCAAAAATAAATAAAAATGTTAAAAAATTTTTTTTAACATTTTTATTTATTTTTTAAGTTATTTGAGGGGGAGAGAGAAAGAGAGAGCAGGTAAGGGGCAGCGATGGAGAGAGAGAGAATCCCAAGCAGGCTCTGCGCCATCAGCACAGAGCCCGATGTGGGGCTCAAACTCATGAACCGTGAGATCATGACCTGAGCCAAAATCAAGAGTTGGAAGCTTAACCAGCTGAGCCACCCAGGTGCTCCTTAACCATTTTTAAATGTGCAGTTTGGTGGCAGTAAGTCCATTCAAGGACTTTTCCAGGGAGAACTCTGGCAGACAGCAGCTTAACCAGTGATGAAGGCTGACAACACCCACAACAAAATATGTCAAGGTCATGTACCCCTGTGGTGTGGGGCACGGGGAAGGGCACAGCACCTCTGCAGGAACCCTCCCCAAGATGCATAACCTCAGCCTCATCATAGAGAACATCAGGGAAACTCACATCAAGGGGCAGATCAGGAGAGACTGAGACATTGACACTTGATATCACTGTGAATCTCAGGTTGGATCCTGGAGCAGAAAATGACTGTTCATGGCACAGCAGGTGAAATCCAAATAGGCTGTGGTTGATTGGCAGTGTGCCACTGTGAATTCCTTAGTTTTGTTCATCCTGTTACAGTTCTGCAAGATGTTACATTAGTGGGTGCTGGGTAGAGGGTATTTGGGAACTCTACTTTTTTTGTAGCCCTCTTCGAGTTTAAAATTATTAAAGAATTAAAAGTATAAAGGTTCATAAATGAAAGTTAACGAGTCATCTTTCAGTTAATTCCCTCTAGAAATTGAGTGGTCTCTTCCAACGCAGCTCAAATGACCTTCATTAATAACAACAACAACCGTGGCTAACCCAGCCCCTCAGCAGTACTGAACATAGTTACTCGTTCCTTGAACCAGTTTACCTTCTGGGTCTCTGTGACGCCATATTTGGCGGGCTCTCTCTTACCTGTCTCCATGCTCTTCTCCATCTCCATTATTAGCTCATTGCTCTCTACACAAGGTTGAAGTTCTTCAGTGCTCCAGCCTGAGGCCGTGTGTCTTCCCTGTGTACCTCTGCTATCCAGTACGGCAGCTACTAGCCACATTGGCAATCTAAATTCAAATTCTTTACAAATAAATAAAACTTAAAATTTAGTTCCTCAGTTGCTGTGGCCGCATTTCAAGTGCTTAATTGTCGCATGAGGTGTTAGTGGCTACCATATTGGACAGTACAGATGAGGAACAGTTCTGTCATTGCAGGAAGTTCTGTTGGACACAGCATCTGCCTGGCAGCCCCTTACACTTCACGTTGTGTCTGGTTGCCCCCGTCCCGGTGAGGCCAGGATCAACCAGTCAGCAGGTAGTGTCAGCTCAGTATTGTAGAGTCTCCATCAGCCTTTTATCTAATAGTCTTATTCCTCGATAGTCTTTGCTGAAACATTTGTTTCACCCCTTTTTTGTAAAAAACAAAAGACAAATGTGATCATTTTGTGTGGATGCCTTTCTGTATCAGTGCATTTTTTTTTTTTTTTAGATCTGACCTTGTTTTTAATAGCTACAGAATGTTCTACTGAATGTACACATGCTAAAGGACCTGATCTAATTTTGTGGGGTAGTTCATAGGTATATAATATTTTTAGTTACACATCCTTTCCGTTTCAGATGAGCAGAAGGTCTCTTCTGCCTTCCAGATGTTGAAAGACGATAGCATGCATGTGGAGTCTAGTGAAGATTGGAGAAAAGACCAGCATAGCCCATCTTATCAGCAAATAAACTGCATTGACAGTGTTATCAGGTGTGAGACACAAGTTTTGAGAACATGCCAGTTTTTCCAAAAGCATACATTGTCTCTGTAAGCACACACCTTCCATCATCCTTAATATCTATTGTCTTGATTGTTCACTATAAGTCAGTAAGTATTTATGGAGTACCTACCTACAGTTTATAATAAATTGAACATTTCAAGGGATGCCAAACAGGAAGATTGGTCCCTTCTTTGAGGGAGCCATGGCACAGTTGAGAAGACAAGACCTTGATGATAAAAATTAAACGAGCCAAGGTTTGGAGATCAATTCCAGGCCACAGTAAAAGAGATGTGACACTCCAGTGATTCAGGCTGGGAGAGTCAGGGAAGACCTCATCAAAGGAGAGTGTAGGGCACACCCACGCAAAAGTGCCGTGAGAAGAGCAGAAATGTGGGAAGTGGCAAAATTAGGGGCCAGGGAGGCACACGTGACCTAGTTATGTTGTTGCAGATACCTGAGGAGCTGCGACATTCCGGCTTTGAAAAGGAAGAGCGCGTCCTCTTCATCCTCGGAAGACAGACAGGACCACAAGCAAATGATGCCCAGACCTTGCACGGTAACGCGAGTGCCCTCCTGGCCAGCCAGAGGATGGGTACAGAGCCATCCCTTTCTGGTTTTCCTTCAAGGTTTGGTCTCTACTTATTTCGTGAATCACCAACAATCCTGGTTTCCTATTGCACCTTAATGGCCAGTTATAAACACCTGCAAACTTGGTCTTTAACATAAATTTCCTTTGAGGATTTTTCTTTTCACTGTCGGTTTCTCTCATGCCCCCAGCTGCGCCTCAGACCCCAGCCACAGCTCACTTGAAGATGTCTACTGCCAGGCGGTCTGCAGACGCTGCAGGACGCGCCCCCCGGAGCCTGTCCCCGGCGGCGCTGAGCCTGGGCTCTGGCACGAGCCAGTGTAGCTACGGCAGCACCGTTGTCCACGCCCCCCCGCCAGAGTCAGGTGCCACGTTTCCCTCCTGCTCTAAAGAACACTCCTATGAAATTCGGGGTCGTGAGAAAACACATCATTAATATCAGTTACTTAAGAATGACTTCTGGATTATAATTATGTCGTCCTTTCTTTAAATCAGTCCGTAGTTTTGGAAATACCACCTTTGTATCGGTTACATAGTTTGGACCGTATTTCTAAATCATTGTCATTTGTTGATCACATCAGCTGACACGTGGAAGGCACTTAGAACTAACAGAACCCAGTGACATAGTAGTAAGTCCTCAGCAAGTGTTAACTATCACTAATGAGGTTGTTTATGAGGCTGCCTTAGGTCACTTTGTTGTTGCCCTTGAGAGAAGGTGTCCTTGTCAGACTGACATTGGCCGTGACCAGATGGACCGTATACACATCCAGATTTTTATATTGGCCTGATAACAATGAGGAGAGTGTGTTCAAAACTCTCTTCCTTTTGGGCGCCTGTGAGGAGTTGGGGATGCCCGTCCCTTCTCCTTCAGACTCCACTGCCCACCCCCCAGGCTGGATGCCACGCCATGCCACAGTTCTTGTGGACGTTGGAAGGGGGCTACCCAGCGGCCATCGGGCGAGGTGTGCATGTGTGCATATGAGTGTGCCCCACGTTCTCAGTGGGGGGCGGGGCAGGTGGGAAACCCCTGAGGGCCTGTGGGGTGTTAAAAAGGGTTTTTAAGAAAACAAAGGAAAAAAATATCTCTTCCTTTTAACAACATAATGACTTGGTAAATTCTTCCGATGTCTACTTTTTGTTCCTTTTTACTGTCTCCTACCCTTTGACTTTGTCCTTACAACAATTTGGTGGATGAAGTAGTGGTGACAGAGGTGTTAAATCAGGTTTTTCGGTTATCTGACTTCTTGTTGCTGGTCTTCAGTGGCCCATCAGGAAACGTGTTGAACTCTTACGGTGTGCAGCCATCTGTCCTTAGTCTTTCATAGGAATTAACTCCTCTAATCTTGACACTGACCCTTGGAGACGGAGAGTACGGTATTGACAGGCGGGCTGGGGGTCGGTGGGAAGAGACCAGAGACACAACCGTTGGAGCTTAGATTATGTTTCTAATGAACTGAAAATAGAGTTTTATTGGAGCTGAGCCAGTCCCCCGGGAAAGAGCAGCTGCACAATTTTTTAGTATACCTTTTCTTAATACTTTCGATTCCAGTGTGGACATAATAGCTGCCGGTGACTCAGCCCATACAAGGTGGGGTCTCATCCAATGGGGAAAGATTTTGTGGTCATGCCACTATACTTTTTATAATCTGGTGTGTATTACCATTTTGAAAGATTGATAGTAAAGCCTGTAAGCTCTCACTGAAGGGAATTTATTGATAATTGTTCTGATCTTAAACCAATCTCAGCATCTGTGGGACCACATCTTTCTTCCAAGGAGAAGAAACAGAAGCACGGTCTCTGTAAAGTATCTGTATGTCTTTTGCTCTCTGAAAAGCCTGATTCGTGCAGTTTACACCCTGACTCTAATTAAACGATCGGGTCTGAGGACCATGACTCCAAATGCATTTCCCTGCAAGCTATGGCCTCCATTTCGTATACACAGCAGTTAAGGCACAAAGGAGTTAAGTGACTTGGGCAAAGTTATGTAGCAAATGAGTGGCAGAGAAGGGAATCAGACATTAATAAGCAGTCTCCAGAAACCATTGCCGTTAACATATTTTTTAATCCATAACAGGGTCAAGATGGCCTGTGAAATAAAGCCAGGAGATAAGTTACAATGTAATTTTAAGAAACACACAAATGATCCAAAAGAAGGGCAGAAAAGGAGGAATAGAGCAACAACCACCATCACCAGAGGGAACATGTCAAACCCATCATAATAGCTCTAAATCTAACTGTATCCCCTCCACTTAAAAGGCAGAAATTGTCAGAACAGATTAAAAAAAAAAAATCAAGACCCAGCTATATACTGGCTGGAAAGTACAGTTTAAATATAATCCACCAAGGGATTGAGGATAAATGAATGAGAAAAGAGGCACAACGCAGATGATGAGCACAGGAGGACTGGTGTGCCAGTGGTGATAAACTAGACTTCAAGACAGAGTCTTCCTAGAGATGGTTCATAGTGGTGAGCAGTTCACCAGGGAGACACAACAATCATAATACATTATGTATATTCGCTAATAGCAGAGTTTCCAAGGTAGGAAGTAAAAATGGAAAGAGTTAGAAAAAAATAGACTTTCCATAACCATTGAAGAATGTAACACTGCTTCCGTGCAGTTAATAAAACATCTAGTTAAAAAAAATGAGTAAAGCAGTAGATGATCTGAGCAATGCTGTCATTTACATTCAGAGAACATAGCACCCAGTGCTCAATACGAGTTCTTTTCAAGCCTACGCCATGCATTCATTGAGGTATAAAATATGTTGAGCTGTACTACGTCTCAAAGTTAAAATAACGTTGTACATACTATGCTCTCTGGCGAGAGCTAATTCAGTTAGAAATCAGTGAAGCCATCTGGGGTTAGAGTTTTCTTGGCCAAGTTTTTAACTACAGATTCAGGGCTGTTCAGGTTTTCTACTTGTTGAGTGAACTTTGTTATTGCCTGCCTTTCAAAGACTTGGTCTGTTTTGTCTACATTGTCAAATTTATTGGAATAAACATGTGCATAATGTTCTCTTATTCTTCTTTTGACACCAGTAAGATCTCTAATGATGTTCCATCTGTCATTTCGGAGGTTGTCACCTTCATGTCTTCTCCTTTTTCTCTGATCAGTCTGGCTGGAGTTGATCGATTAGATTGGCCTTCTCAAAGCACCAGCTTACAGTTGCACTGGCTTGGTTCATTGTTTTCATATTTTCTATGTCACTGATTTCTCCTCTGATTTTTACTGTTTCCTTTCTTCCACTTTTGTTTTATCTTGCTCTTCTCTTTGCAGTCTCTCAGCGTGGAAGCTGAATTGATTTTGGACATATTTGTTTCCTAATGGATTAAAAACAGTTTTTTTTAAGTTTATTTATCTTGAGAAAGAGAACGAGGAGGGGAGGGGCAGAGAGAGAGGGAGAGAGAGAGAGAATCCCAAGTAGGCTCCACACTATCAGAGCAGAACCTGATGTTGGAGCCCGAACTCATGAATCGTGAGACCATGACCTGAGCCAAAACCAAGAGTCGGATGCTTAACCAACTGAGCCACCCAGGTGCCCCTCCTAATGGATTTTAATACAAATTTTCTTTTTTACCTCTAGCTGCGTTACACACATTTGGCTGTATTGTGTCATTTTCATTGTGTTCAAATACCGACTACTATCCCCTAACCATCTCCTTTGAAATCACTTATGTCATCATGTATCTATATTTGCTATCATATATTACTTCAGTACCACGTATTTGGGGGCTTTCCACAGTTCTTTCTGTTACTGATTTCTAATTTAATCCCCTTGTGGTCCAAGAAAATACGAACTCGAATTCTTCTGTATTTGTTGAGCCTTGTTTTATGGTCTGTGATGTGTTCTACCTTGATGGCTGTTCTTTGTGCACTGGGAAAGAAGGTTTATTCTGCTGCTGTTGGTTGAATATTTTCTCAGTGGAAACCAGGTCAGGTTGGTTGATACTGTTGTTCAGGTCTTGTCTGTCCTAACTAGTCCTCTCAGTATTTGTTCTGCTTCGCGAGGAGTCCTGAAATCTCTGACCGTAATTATGCATTTGTCCATTTCTCCTTGTGGTAAAACTGGTTTTTGCTTCACGTGTTTTGAAAGAACTTTTTATTTTGTGCATAAATGTTTAGCCTTCTTCTGAATTGGCCCTTTTTTCATTGTGAAATGACCTTCTTTATCCCTTGTATAGTCTTGACTCTAAAATACACTCTGTCTCATATTAATATATTCACTCTAGCATTTTTTTAAATCAGTATTAGCATGTTCTATCTTTTCTGCCTTTTTGCTTTTAACCCAGGTATGTTTATGTTCAGAGTGAGCTTTACTTTCATGGCTGCTTAGGGACTTAGGGTATACATGTTCAATGGTTCACTGTCTACCGTCTGGAAATACTGTATCACTTCAGGTATAGCATAAAAATCCAAGAATAGTGTACTTCTGCTTCCCCCTTCTGGCCTTTGTCTGTTGGCATATGTCTTACTTCCACATATGTTATAAATCCCACCCCACGCTGCTGTTGCTCACGTGTAGGTACTGGTTATCTCTCCAACTATTTACCCATGTGGTTACCTCTTCCAGTGCTCATGGGGCTCATACTCATAACTCCAACATCAAGAGTCACATGCTCCTCTGCCTGAGCCAGCCAGGTGCCCCAGTACTATCAATTTTAAATCTAAAAAGACAACTCCAAGTCTGTCTACAGGTGTTTACTATAAGTTGTGGTACACACATAAAATGGAAGACTGTGATATGTAGACAATGTACAATGGCTGTCTTTGTGCTGGTAAAAGGGATGCTCCTGGGGCACCTGGGTGGCTCAGTCAGTTAAGTGTCCGACTCTTGATTTCAGCTCAGGCCATGATCTCACGGTCATGATTTCAAGCCGTGCATCGGGCTCTGTGCTAGGCACGGAGCCTGCTTGGGATTCTTTCTCTCCCTCTGCCTCTGCCTTTCCCCTGTGTGTACACATTCTCTCTCTCTCAAAAAAAAAAAAAAGTGGGGAGGAGATGTTGTTAAGTGAAAAAAACTGTAGAGAGTGTACATATTATATGCCTTTTGAGTAAAAATCGGGGTGGGGAATATGAATCTGTATTCATGCTTATTTATAGGTGCATAAAGAATCTGGACTGTTATAGAAGGAAATAAATGGAGTTTCTATGGGGGAAATAAATGAGAACTAGATACATAGTAGACAGGAATGGGGAGCATTTACTAACTGCCTGTTTAATGCTTCTTGATTTTTGAACCACATGACTATACTACAGATTTTTAAAATTAACTCAAAGATAAAACATATTTGAAGAATTTAAGAAGATAAAATACTTACAATAAGAAGATATTAATAAATGTGTATATGCACATTGAGTGTTACAAATCTGCAAAACGTATATGCGAGTGTACAAAGAGTTTAAAGAAAGGTAGGAAAAAATAAAACAACTTATTTGCTAGGTTGATGAAGTTTCTTATATTCCAGCTATTGTAGTAATGGTTGTAAAAATTTAGTGAAAAGCAATTAGATTAGTGAAAATAAAATAAATGCAAATGATTGATAGCAATTAAAATTAAATCTGTCCCCTTCCACCTCAGCAGAAGCGACTCTGGCAGAGGATGCTGTCCCAGCGTGTGAGCCCTGGACCCCGTGCTCACACCCAGGTCCGCGGACCTCAGAAGAATTTCAACATGTAGGGCTGACAAAAGCCATGCTGTCAGCCCACACACAGAACGAGGAACAGAATTATGTTGATAAATTCCGAGAAAAGATCCTGTCATCGCCCTACAGAGCCTGTCTTCCGCAAGAAAGCAGAAGCAAAGCTAAACATTTGTACGTTCAAGGTAGTTACGTTTTAAAAACCGTGCCTCGTTTATCAATTCCATAAATATGTGTGAGTACTGGGAGAGAGGAAGTGAAGAATTGGAGGGTTGTTTTTAAGAAACAGATGGGAGAGATGCCGAACTAAATTCCTGCCGACAGTTTGTTATCTGGGATAACGATTTCTTAGATGCTGGGTCTGAGAAGCTGATTTGATAAGAAGGTGATTGAGAGATTCTGAAGTAAGTTTATTTTCTAGCAGCAGCTTTTATCTGGGCTCTTGCTCCTCTTTTTAGTAGCCGTGGTAGTGGACGCGGTTCCTGTTGGCAGGTGTCGTGTCTTCTTCATCTGCTTACCATTACCTGTGAATGAATGGCGTTCTTCTCTTTTTTGGTTCTAGTTTCCATAATATGCCCCCCCCTTCATCCTTTCAGGAGGCTCCGCTTCCAAGCAGAGCAGCGCGGCCGGCGGCAAGAAGGGGAAGCACAAGGGGAAGAAGCTGCCACAGCTGCCGGGCAGCAGTGGCACTAAGGACGCCTTCTGTCCCCGCTTGCGAGGGGACGAGGGGACGTCCAGGACACACAGCCCTGGGGCCCCTCCCCCGCCTCCTCTCCGTGGGCCTCCGGCCTGTCGTTCCCGGCTCCTTCCCCCGTCCCGGCCCTGCCCCGTGGGGGAGGAGGCCACGTGGCAGCAGTGGCTCCGTTCGAATGTCTGTCTGAGCCACGTTTGCCCAACTGCTTGCAGTCTTTTCCTGCCCCCCTCCTCTCTACTTAGATACTTTGATGACCATTTTCCTGCACGAACCCCCTGTCTGTCCCCTTTTGTCACCATCCTTCCCCCCATATCCGTTCTTGGGAGCACCAGACTCTTCCGAAATTCCACCCTCAGCATCAGCAGTGGCTGCCAGGCTGGAACCCCCGTGGTCGGTCCTCAGCCGAAGGCGAGCTGAGGGGAAATGGGAGACGCCGTGTGAAGAGCACGCACTCACTACCTCGAGGAGCAGCTCACCACTGTGGCTCAACTTACTGCAGGAAGACACGCTCAGATCCCGCGAATCTTCAGATCAGATGAGAAGGGGTATTTGCCCAGAAGCCGAGGATGTAAGTGACACTAACTTCTAGCATGTGAGTGAGAACATAAATGTGCGTCCTCTTATTAAAATTAAGGCACTCGCACCGGGGCCGACACTGAAGGCCGAGCAGGTAATCAGCATCATAGCTGTGGCTGAGACTGTGCGCTATGATTTGCACTGTATCCCCCTGACTCCATGTAACAGGCAAGAACTAAAGAGCCTGCTGAGTCCTGGTTCCTTAGATACTTGGTAGTATTTCCCAAAGTGCTGTCTTTCATATTTCCTATGTGAACCGGGCTCCCCGCCTTTAAATTTTTTTTTTTTTAACATCCGTTTATTTTTGAGAGACAGAGCGGGACAGAGCATGAGTGAGGGAGGGTCAGAGAGGTGGGTACACAGAATCCAAAGCAGTCTCCAGGCTCCAAGCTGTCAGACAGAACCCGATGCGGGGCTTTAACCCATGAACCGCGAGATCATTATGTGAGCGGACGTCAGATGCTCAACCGACTGAGCCACCCAGGCACCCCTCCCCCGCCTTTAAAATGTGATATCCAGTCATTTAATTTGACACAGTCATTGCCTACAAAATGTATTTTCTTCTTTACAACTGGGGTTGTGTTCTGGTAAGTCAGGAGTAAACCATACTGACAAGACCTGAACTGAGTGAGTGTGCCCTTGCAGGCGTGGTTGAGGGACGGAGGTGAGGTGTGTATGGAGAAGGGAGCGGCTGCTGTTTGTCATTGACTTATCACTATAGTAGGCAGCTTCTAGTTGGATACTTACACACATCGTTTTCAAAACCAAAAATTGTGTGGGTCATTTTCCCTTAACTTTTTTATCTCTTTACCTAAAAAGCCGTTCTCAGATATATTTATCTGGCTAAACTTTGGAATCCGATGTTCCTATACTTAGGTGTAGGAATCAAGACAAGTGTCAATATTTACAATTTTCTTTGGTCTTCCCTTCAAGATATGATACCATTGTTGGACAAGTGCTCAAAATATGATGATCCAGATAGAGAAAATATGCTTAATTTTGAAAGCCTGATATTAGTGCACTTGCTAGAATCTCATGCAAGGCCGTGTATCCTAGTGAGCAGAGCTAGGCTGTGGAATAAGACGCGGAGTCAGACGCTCTGACACTTGATCAGCCGGTTCGCTGAACCAAGTCAGTCAGCCCTCCTTTGCCTTTGTTCCTGACTTGAAAAATGAAGAGACGGAACCTTGATAGCTTATTCTGAGGATTAAGTGAAGTAATATTTACGTAGTCCTTCTTCCCATCCATATAAGCTCAGGGTAGCTGCAACTTTGTTTCATTCGCTGTAATACTCGTTTTGGGAATAGTGCTAAGAACTGACAAAACGGTCGGGACATCTGGGATGACAAAACAGCAGAATTAAAGTGTACGACCGTATGGCGCCTCCCGTGCAGCAGGTGCAAACCCAGCCATATATGTAATGTTCCGTGCAAAGGGACGGGGACAGGCTGAACTGTTTGCTTGCCAGTTATGTATATGCTTCATTTTGTTTAACGTGCAAACTTCAAGATCTGCCAGTTATTTTGTAATATGATGCCTGAGATGTTAAAAATCTCTTCTTGTGGCCTTCCCTTCTGCAGCGTGTCGTAGGCAACAGCGGGAATAAGAACAGTTACATGGCATTACTTCACGAGGAGTCTCCTTCCAAAACAGGTTCTGCAGCATCAGGTAGTGGAGCAAAATGATGAATTCCCCACACTCTGTTGCCAGGAGATCACTGTGTAATGGGCCATCTGGTTTGGGCCCTGGTGCGGGAGTAATTTGTCTTTGTTTATAAGGTTTATTGGGGTGCGTTTACATACGATAGAATTCACCGGTTCTGACAAATGTATGCATTTGTGTAACCGGCAGCACAGTGACCGTACAGAGCATTTCCATCGCCTGGAAAAGTTCTTCTGTGACCCTTTATAGTCAGTCTCTGCCCTGATATTCCAGCTCCTGGCAACCGCTGATGTGTTCTCTGTCGCTGTAGTTCTGATTTTTTATAATTTTATGTGAATTGAATCATCCAGTATACAGTCTTTTGTATAGGGATTCTTTCAGGTAAGCCAGTGCTGCTGAGATTGATCCTTACTGGTGTTCCTTCCTATTACCAAGTACAATTAAATTGTGCGGACATCCGTTCACCAGTTGATGGTTATTCAGTTGCATTATGAATAATGCTGCTATGAACATTGAGTGTGAGTCTTTGTACGCATGTGTTTTCATTTCTCTTTGGTAAATACATAGGATTGAAATTGCTAGGTCATGCAGTAAATGAATGATTAGCTTTATTTACTTATTTTTATTATTAAAGTATTATTGATATACAACGTTATATTAGTTTCCAGTGTACAACATAGTGATTCAGCAATTCTATACATTATGTGCTGCTCACCATGAAGTGTAGTTACCATCTCTCACCGTATATTATGACAGTGTTATTGATTGTATTCCCTGTGTGGTGCTTTTCATCTCCATTAACTTATTTGTCTATACCTGGAAGTTTGTACCTCTTAAGCCCTTCACCCATTTCACCTAAACCCATCCCCTCCCCTCTGGCAACCAACCATCAGCATGTTCTTCATATTTATGAGTCTGTTTCTGGTTCATTTGTTCTTTTGTTTTTTAGATTCTCCTTGTAAGCAACATCATATGGTATTTGTCTTTTTCCGTCTGACGTAGTTCACTTACCAAAATACCCTCTAGGTTCATCCATGTTGTTGCAAATGACAAGGTCTCATTCTTTTTTAAGACTGAGTAGTAGTCCAGTGTGTGTGTGTGCGTGCGTGTGTGTGTGTGTGTGTGAGTATCACATCTTTTTTTTAGGTTTTTTATCTTAATTCTAGTGTCGTTAACAGACAGTTTTATATTTGTTTCCTGTACAATACAGTGATTCAGCAGTTCTGTACATCATTCAGTACTCATCATAAGTGTACTCTTTAATCTCCACCCCCTATTTCCCCTATCCTCCTATCCTCCTCCCCTCTGGTAACCATTAGTTCTCTAGAGTTAAGGGTCTGTTTCTTGGTTTGTCTTTCTCTCTTTTTTCTCCCCTTTGTTCATTTGTTTTGTTTCTTAAATTCCACATATGTGTGAAATCATACGGTGTTTGTCTTTCACTGTTTCACTTAGCATGCACTCTAACTCCAGCCATGCTATCACAAATGGCGAGATTTCATTCCTTTTTATGGCTGAGTAATATTCCATTGTGTGTGTGTATGTGTGTGTGTGTATACACGCACATATATACATATATATGTAAATATATACATATGTGTGTATATTTTTTGTATATGTATATATACATACCACATTTTCTTCATCCATCCGCCTATTTATGGACACAGGTTACTTCCATGTTTTGGCTATTGTAAATAATTGTGCTGTAACCTTAGGGATGCATATATCTTTTCGTATTTGTATTTTTGTTTTCTTTGTATAAATATCCAGTAGTAGAATTATTGGATCGCATGGAATTTTATTTTTAATTTTTTTTAGGGAGGTGCATATTTTTTTTCACAGTGGTTGCACTAGTTTACGTTTCCACCAACAGTGCACAAGGATTCCCTTTTCTCCACATCCTCGCCAATACCTGTTGTTTCTTGTGTCATTGATTTTAGCCATTCTGACAGGTGTTAGGTGGTATCTCATTGTGGTTTTGATTTTAATTTCCCTGATGTTGAGTGATGTTGAGCATCTTCTCATGTGTCTGTTGGTCATCTCTGTGTCTTCTGTGGAAAAATGTCTGTTCAGGTGCTCTGCCCATTTTTTTCATCAGATTGGTTTTTTTGGTGTTGAGTTGTATGAGTTCTGTATGTATTTTGTGTACTAGCCCTTTATCAGATACATCCTTTGCAAATATTTTCTCACGTTCAGTAATTTGTCTTTTATTTTTTTTATTTTATTTTATTTTTCTTTTCAATGTTTATTTATTTTTGGGACAGAGAGAGACAGAGCATGAACGGGGGAGGGGCAGAGAGGGAGGGAGACACAGAATCTGAAACAGGCTCCAGGCTTTGAGCCATCAGCCCAGAGCCCGACGCGGGGCTCGAACTCACGGACCACGAGATCATGACCTGGCTGAAGTCGGACGCTTAACTGACTGCGCCACCCAGGCGCCCCATGTCTTTTTTTTTTTTTTTAATGTTTATTTTTGAAAGAGAGAGAATCCCAAGCGGGCTCCGCGCTGTCAGCGTAAAGCCTGACATAGGGCTCCATCTCACAAACTGCAGGATCATGACCTGTGCCGAAATCAAGTTGGACACTTAACCGATTGAGTCATCCAGGCACCCCTGCCTTTTCTTTTTTTGATGGCTTCCATTATTGTATACAAACTTTTTATTTTGGTGTAGTCCCAGTAGTTTGTTTTTGCTTTTGTTTCTCTTGCTTGAGTGGACATATCCTTAAATATGTTGTTAAGGCCAATGTCAAAAAAGATGACTACCTTTTATGAATGAAGTTTTATGAATTCACATCTCAAATTTAGGTCTTTAATCCATTTTGAGTTTATTTTAGTGGCATCAGAAAGTGGTCCAGTTTTTCATCCTTTTGCATGTTGCTGTCCAATTTTTCTAATCCCATTTATTGAGGATCCTGTCTTTTCCTCCTTTTACATTCTTCATCATAGATTAATTGACTATACGAGCATGGATTTCTTTCTGGACTCTGTTCTGTTCCATTGATCTATGTGTTGGTTTTTGTACCAGTACCATACCATTTGGATTACTGTAGCCTTGTAGTATATATTAAAATCTGGGATTGTGATACCTCCAGCTTTGTTCTTCATTTTCCAATTTGCTTTGGGTATTCAGAGTCTTTTGTAGTTCATACAAATTTTAGGATTATTTGTTCCACTCCTGTGAAAAATACTTTTGGTATTTTGCTAGGTATTACATTGAATCTTTAGATTGCATTGGGTAGTATGGACATTTTAATGATTAATTCTTCCCATTCATGAGCACTAAATATCTTTCCATTTGTTTGTGTCTTCAGTTTTTTTCATCAGTGTCCTACAGTTTTCGGAATATAGGTCTTTTATCCCTTCGGTTAAGTTTATTCCTAAGTACTTTTTTTCCCTCATCAAAATTATTTATTAATATGTGCTGATAACACTTAGAAAAATATATGGAGTTTGGGTGACAAAATGGAATTACAGATCATAATTTTGACTAGAGACAAGACAGTGAGAAGTAACCTGACTAACCTGCGTTGTTTAACTTTTTTTTTTTTTTTTTAAATATTCAAGTTAGTTAACATATAGTGTAATCTTGGCTTCAGGAGCAGAACCCAGTGATTCATCTCTTACATATGACACCCAGTGCTCATCCCAACAAGTGCCCTCCTTAATGCCCAGCACCCATTTAGCCCATCCCCCCACCACCTCCCCTCCAGCAACCCTCAGTTTGTTCTCTGTATTTAAGAGTCTCTTATGGTTTACCTCCCTGTTTTATCTTATTTTCCCTTCCCTTCCCCTGTGTTCATCAGTTGAGTTTCTCAAATTCTATATATGAGTGAAATCATATGATATCTGTCTTTCTCTGTATGACTTATTTCGCTTAGCATAATACGCTCTAGTTTCATCCACGTTGTTGCAAATGGCAAGATTTCATTCTTTTTCATCACCGAGTAGTGTTCCATTGTATATATACCACATCTTCTTTATCCGTTCATCAGTCAGTGGACATTTGGGCTCTTTTCATAATTTGGCTATTGTTGATAGTGCTATTATAAACATCAGGGTACATATGCCCCTTCAAATCAGCACTCCTGTATCCTTCGGATAAACTCCTAGTAGTGCAATTGCTGGGTCGTAGGGTAGTTCTATTTTTAATTTTTTGAGGAACCTCCATACTGTTTTCCAGAGTGGCTGCACTAGTTTGCATTCCCACCGACAGTGCAAAAGTGTTCCCTTTTCTCCACATCCTCACCAATATCTATTGTTTCCTGAGTTGTTAATTTTAGCCATTCTGACCGGTGTGAGGTAGTATTTCATTGTGGTCTTGATTTGTATTTCCCTGATGATGAGTGACATTGAGCATCTTTTCATGTATCTGTTTGCCACCTGGTTGTCTTCTATGGAAAGTGTCTATTCATGTCTTCTGCCCATTTCTTCACTGCGTTATTTGCTTTTTCGATGTTAGTTTGGTAAGTTCTTATTGATTTTGGATACTAGCGCTTTATCCTATATGTCATTTGCAAATATCTTCTGCCATTCTGTCGGTTGCCTTTTAGTTTTGTTGTTTCTTTTGCTGTGCAGAAGCTTTTATCTTGATGAAGTCCTAATAGTTCATTTTTTGCTTTCACTTCCTTTGTCCTGGAGACATGTCTACTAATAAGTTGTTGTAGCCGAGGTCAAAGAGGTTGCTTTGTGTTTCCCTCTGTAAGATTTTGATGGTTTCCTGTCTCACATTTAGATCTTTTATCCATTTTGAATTTATTTTTGTGAATGGTATTAGAAAGTGGTCCAGGTTCATTCTGGATGTTGCTGTCCAGTTCTCCCAGCACCATTTGCTAAAGAGACTGTATTTTTTCCATTGGATACTCTTTCCTGCTTTGTCAAAGATTAGTTTGCCATATATTTGTGGGTCCATTTCTGGGTTTTCTATTCTTTCCATTGATCTGTGTGTCTGTTTTTGTGCCAGTACCATACTGTCTTGATGATTACAGCTTGTAATACAGGTTGAAGT